ACACAGCAACGACATCTTTGTAAAACAGACTAACTACAATGTAAAAGTATAGCGAGAGGGGAAGGGAGTAAATAAAAAGGGGAAACAGATACGTTTGATTTACATTGTAGTTAGTCGGTTATTAATAGATGGCGTTTATATAGTGTGCCCTTATTGCGCTTGACTCTCGGTTTGAAACTGCCACAACAAACTGAACACAGCAATATGTATGTACAAATGTCACACGACAGTTTGTCGCATCTAGCAAGACGTATGCGGCATTCGCGAATGGTTGCGAATGAAATGTACGAATTTTCATAGATGTTGATGTGGATGAATATACTTTACTTCGTATATTTCATGTATAATAGGAAAATGTTCATATATTCCGTATAAAATGGCATTCGCATATAGTAAAATGCCCCTAGGTGACACGATGGTTTCGTGCTCAGACATGAAATTCAAAATCTGACTTTACGGGATGATTGGGCACTACGAGGAATAGATCTGCTCAAATTTTCAACTACATCGATTGATCGGTGTAAAACTTAGACTCTGAAGAGGCACTTATGAGAAAAATGCCTAGAAATGATCTTCTTTCAATTTGGAAGCTGAAAGAATCAGTGATGGTTTTTTCCTATCTGAATAGCGCTAGCTATTCGCAGCGCCTGTACAGCATTGCTGCCCAGATGCTGAATCGTAGCGGTTGCCGAACGCGCGACACAATTCGTTTGTACCACACAGAGCATATACGTTCGCGTTCGTTCTCTGTTCGACATGCGTTTGTATACTGACTATCGTATTAGTGTATCATACTCTGTGAGCTCACTGGTTACTTAGACTATATGACAATATGTTGTGTGGTACAAAACGCGTGCGACAACCGCTTCGATTCAGCATCTGGGCAGCAATGCTGTTCAGACGCTGCGAATAGCTAGCGCTATTCAGATAGGAAAAAACCATTACTGGAAAGAATGTGTCACCGGGATTAGACAAGCGACTTTTTGACATTTTTGTGATTAGCAGCGCACTCTATTTCACATGACCACCGCCAGCGCCACACAGTAGTAAATGTTTATGATGACCACCAATAACAAGAAACATATACACTGATATAAATTGAAGAACTGATACAAATAAACGAAAATAAAAAAAATAAACACAAATTTAGAAAAAAATGCACCAAATATAGCATAGATCACAAACACAATAAGATAAAACACTTCTATCACAAATCAAATGAAACAGTAATGAGGAACGCATTATAAATATCACGTCTTACCTCAACAAAGGACTCTGTATTCTAAATCGAATGATGAAATTTATTTCCAATGTGACATCAAATATTTTTCCGATCGAAATGTTGTTGGAATATTCACAGCAAATTTTATCAACACTCTGTTATTTCGAAATTAAAACAAAAATGAACACAAAAACAACTGTGAATATATCCATTCCACAAAACAAAGTTTCATTGTAAACAAAATCGGTTGGTGCGATTGTAGTTTCAAAGTGATGGAAGCTGTTTATACTAACAAATACTGTCACGCGATGCGAGCACATTTTCTAATACATATAAATGCATATCGTTGGATTTGGTTGACACATATACACCGCGCCACACGAAAAATGTCAGAATTGTTAGTATAAACATCTAGAGAATATGGAGAGAATCATTCTCTCTCGCTTACTCTTGGTGTACTCAGTATGCAGTCGTATAAGCAGCAAAAACAGTGTAAGATCGATGCCGCTTCTACATTCATTACATACTGTGAACCGCACTGAACTTCATTTTGACGACAACTACAGCGGCAACAACTGCAAAACGGGAGCAGAGAAAAAAAAAACAAAGCAATCGTCAAAATTCATAAAAAGAAATCATATTTGCATCGTAAAAGGCAATTTAATCGATTGGTGGTAAAGAAACGTGGTGGAATTGTGCGAAGAGCGTAGAAGAAGAAGACGACGTTTGTGGCGGCGTTTTATAGACGGGAAAAAAAATTGTGTGTGTCGCATTAATCTAATTCGGAAAAGTCGGTCGTCAACGCACATCAGAACCGGTAAATCCATTCCGTAGAAAAAGAAATCGAAAGAAAAAAATTAATCTTTCGAATAATTGTCAATCGACAAGCATTGAACATTTTGAAGAAGAAAACCGAGTCCAAAATGGATAACGAGAATGGTACAGCCGCGGCAGCAACAGCAGCAGCACCAGTGGTTACCACAAAAGGTATTTTGCATGTATTTCTCATTCATTGTTAGACAGCAGCAGCAGTTTCACCCAAAAAAAGAAAAATATTTATTTCGCAAGCAAAGTTTTCGATTTTCATTTTTTTTATTGCTTCACATTTAAAGTATATGTGTGTATGTATTGTTAATCGCCGGCGCACCAACCAAATCGGTTGTGTTTGACAAAAACAACTTTTCGATTATGTATACATCATGTCCGTGTGCGTGTATAAGTTTGGGCATGTGTATGTATGTGTGATACAAAGTGACAAATTTCAAAGCGGAAATTTTTTGTAGGACGACAACGAGACAACGACATGACCCATACGGCACAAAGACAACGAGTACACACACATAGACTGGTGAGTAAAATCATCATACTTTACTCCATGTATGCATAAATACACGGAACACTCAGAAATGGTATAAGTATGTATTGGTTTATTCACCAGTTTATGTGTACAACAAATTGTGTATTATTGTTTTTGTTGTTGGTGGTGGTAGTGGTAGTGTTGTTGTTTTTAATTTCGCTATACGTTTTTTTGTGTAGCAAATGAGCGCACATGTATTTTTGAAATGCGAAGCGCTTATGCAGTACGACGTGCGTTAGCGAATACAATGAGTTTTTCGAGAAAGATCATTTTGTTGTATTTTATATTTTATATTTTAAATCAATAATCAAATTAAATGTTAGATAAAAAAAAATTTAATTTTGCAGTTGAAGAATCGAAATCGGCTGAAATCACAATCACAAAAACAGACGACCAAACAAGAGTCACAGTTCATAGCGGCGGTGGCGTTGTTGAGAATAATGATGAGCTAGACAAAGCTCAAAATATTGGCGAAGTTGTAAAAAGCGTATCGGATATTGCATGTGACACTGCAGTCAAAACGCACGACAAAAAAGCACAATCCCATAACACAATTGAAGACAATAATGATCTTGTCTCCATTCTGGTTGGAAGCGATCATCCAAAATCATTGGATTCAGAAACTCTTGAATTAATATCACGTTTGGGTTTTAGAGCCGCATCAGAAGGTAAACAAATTACAAGAAAAAATATTTCGTTATTTATCAAGATTTGATGAAAAATTTCAGTGTCGGTAGCCTTATTTTATGCATTATATTGAGAAAAAATTTGGGTTTTAATCATTTTAAATTCTGTGTATTTTCCCCTCATTTTTTCAGATTTAATGAATTGCATTCAATATGCTTTTGTAGGGAGAAACGTGTGGTTCCGAACGAAACCAGGTTAGGTGTTTCTTTTTTTGATATTGTTGTGCGTGCTTTAATGAATCTTGTTTTATCGTTTTCTTCCAGGAATGGGAAAAACTGGCGTAGTTGCTCTTGCTTGTTTGTCGGAATTGCAAACAACAGAAGATCATATTTTTGCACTGGTCCTTTGCCAAAAGAGCGATTTAATTAAATATAAAAATGTCTCGAAACATATGCCAGATAAAGTCAGCGTATTTTGCGTTGAGATGTTATCAGGAATCAATGTGAAATCGGGAAAGCGAATCGTTGTTGGCACACCCGAATGTATTTCGAGACTCATCAACAAATTCGACTTTGAACATTTGAAATATTTCATTCTAGATGAATGTGACGAAATGCTGAATTGCTTAGGTAATTTGAATCATGAACAAACCATATTTTTACAGATAAACATGATGATAAACTGCCCTTCAAGTTTGATTTGATAGGAAATTTAATTAGATTTCTTAATTTTCTTTCTTCCTCTCTCTCTCTCTCTCTCTCTCTTTCAAACAGAAAACAGACATCATGATCGAAATAGAAAACATTTCACGTCAAACTTCCCAAAAAAAACAAATCATGATGTTTTCGGCTACACCAAATGAATATTCTCAAGAGTTGTGTGATTTATTTCAGAATGTATGTATTACTTTAATATTAAAATTTAATGATTAAATAAGTTGCACAATTTTGGTTTCAAGTAATTGAACGTTTTTCTTTTTTTTCTATCTTCTTTTTCATAATAATCATGACAATTAGGTTGCGATAGTCACCCGTGTAGTATACGGGCGCTAATTTGAAGTCGCAGGCACTCTTATTCGCGCTATCGGAGATTCCTCTTTAAACATTTTCGCATAAAGACACAGCAACAGAATATGAGTTATACATACAGTACATACAGTCGACAGAGTCACTTACTAGCATAGCACACAATATGAATAGTATGCACAATGTGCATAGTGTGCTATGATATTGAGCGACTCTGTGGACTGTATGTACTGTATACATAACTCATATTCGGTTGCTGTGTCTTTATGCGAAAATGTTTAAAGAGAAATCCTCGATAGCGCGACAAAATATGTTGCGCTCTCGGTCATTCCTCTTCCAAAGCGCAAATAAGAGCGCCTGCGACTTCCATTTAGCGCCCGTATACTACACGGGCACTGATGCTGAATTCGCTTTGCACGCTGTGAAACATTTCACTTCCGAAGTGGAAAATCATAAGAAGTTCAAGAAATTATGCCATTTGCTGGCCGTGTCTGAATTCAACCGCGCGGTGGTTTTTGTAAATGACCCGAAAGTATGCGTTTTATTGGTGAAAAGGCTAAAAAAAGAAAAAGTAAATGTTATAATACAAACTGAGGCCGAGAAGCTAACACTATATCAGCGATTGAGCCTTTTTTTTTTGGCAAAAAGGTAAATATTTCTCCAATATATTCGGTTCCAAATTTTGTAGATTTTTTTCGCTTCAATTTTCTTAAAATCATTGTTGTTTTTTTTGTTCGTAGCGCGTCTTGGTCGTTACCAAATGTGTTAATGAACACGCTGATATTGTGATAAATTTCGATGTTCCAGAAGATTCGCAAACGTATGTGAACCGTTTGGCTCATTATCGCGCTGCTAGTGCAATCACATTGTTTTCGATTGAGTCAGTAATAACTTTTTGATTAAATATTTTTCATTTTTTTCAATTAAACCTCTACGTCAATTTAACTAATTTATTGCATTGATTTGAATACTATCCAAATATTAGGGAAGCTGGAATTTGGAACAATATTCAAAAGGATCTGGAGATTAGGTCGGATTCGCCAATACATTCACAAAATGGGTGCAGTATATTTGACTGTTTAGACGCAATAGATTGAAGTTTTTTTCCCCTTGCGTTACCTTTGTTACTATTAATTAATAAATACCATTTTTTATAGATTTATAAAGAAATGTCGTTTAGGCGCGTTTCTATCCCACAGGAAAAATAAAGTAAATAAATTAGAGCTACCTATCTCCAATTTCATTTAAATCAGCCAAACCAGTGAAACGGAATTTACATATTAAATTATCGTTATGAATTCCCGTACTAATCCATATGTCATTTGAACCGACAATTAACTGAATTGAGATAGAAAACATATAGACACATGCGTCATGCTGCAGCATGAAATAAAATGTTGAAAAAGTGATTGTCGTAATTTGAAAAATGACTTTCCGCTTCAATGGGGAAAGTATTATTGTCAAAACTTAATTGAATAAGTTTTGAGATATTTGTGAATGAACATTCGTAATAAAGTATGTAGTACATACTATGTACTTGTCATATGCATCTGTTTGTTTACACTTTTTTTTTTTCAAATAAAAAAATTGTTTTGTCTAAAATTCTAAATAAATTTGTTTTAATTTTTGATAGTAGGCACAGCCGAATTGCAAGAAAAAATGAAGATGGAAATCTGCATACGGTTGAAAAATTGATATGATTAAACAATGGTACAATAATCAACAGAGAAGTTGGAAGAGATTAAGGTGAAAATCAGTTGAATGAAATTATGTGTGCAATACTTTAAAAAGTCAATTGGTCTTTGTCGCGCAGATGATATAAAAACATTTTACTAACTGTTAAGCCACTTCAGTATGTAATTCCATTTCAATAATTTTGTGTGTCATTCATATACTACTGACGAATGCATTCTCAATAACATTTCATTACATACACACAATCGGTTTTTGTGGCTATGAACCAAGTCATTTTTGAATTTCATCACATTGAAAAATCGAATATGACAACAAAATTCACCATTTTTGCACACACACACATACAATTGTTTCTTCTAGAATTGTTTATCCAACGATATGCATTTATATGTATTAGAAAATGTGCTCGCATCGCGTGACAGTATTTGTTAGTATAAACAGCTTCCATCACTTTGAAACTACAATCGCACCAACCGATTTTGTTTACAATGAAACTTTGTTTTGTGGAATGGATATATTCACAGTTGTTTTTGTGTTCATTTTTGTTTTAATTTCGAAATAACAGAGTGTTGATAAAATTTACTGTGAATATTCCAACAACATTTCGATCGGAAAAATATTTGATGTCACATTGGAAATAAATTTCATCATTCGATTTAGAATACAGAGTCCTTTGTTGAGGTAAGACGTGATATTTATAATGCGTTCCTCATTACTGTTTCATTTGATTTGTGATAGAAGTGTTTTATCTTATTGTGTTTGTGATCTATGCTATATTTGGTGCATTTTTTTCTAAATTTGTGTTTATTTTTTTTATTTTCGTTTATTTGTATCAGTTCTTCAATTTATATCAGTGTATATGTTTCTTGTTATTGGTGGTCATCATAAACATTTACCACTGTGTGGCGCTGGCGGTGGTCATGTGAAATAGAGTGCGCTGCTAA